CCCCAAAACCCCAAAACCCCAAAACCCCGGATGTCATTAAAGCTATGGCATATTTAGTAATTAGTGGATATATTAGTAAAATAAGATTCATATAATGTTTTCGTTTAGTTAATGGTATCGTAGTTATCACTCAACAAGATATCTTAATGAATCGATAACAACTGGTTTCTTAATAAGTTTAATTCCTAGCTTTTCACATTACTACTTGGTTTTGTCATTATCCCTGTTAGAGAAGGCAATCATTGGAATCTTAGGCTTTTTGTTATCACTAACAAGTGAATTTACACTGTTCATGAATCTTTGTATCATGATAGTGGGATCATCCAAGTCAATAAATATGTATCTATAAGATGAGCATTAGCAATTATTTTTTCTAAAAGAGGATTTCAGGAGTCTTAGAGCTGAATCCTCAAGAAAAGCTTCATCACATTTAAAGCCAATTTGGCTCTCAAGTAAAGGCAAAAGATCTGATAAACTCAATAAGAGAATCTCACTGCAGCAAGTACTCTTCTCCTTTAGTGGATATTTTTCTTAAATCTTTGATAAGCTAACCTCTTCCTAAAGATTAATGTCCTCATCTTCTTCATCTTCCTCTCTTACTGAATGCACTAACTTGTTATTTGAAATGTATGAAGCATTATTAACTGGAGGTGGCCCTTATGGAGTATTATTGATTTGAGTTTAGACCTCTTCTTTAGTTCTAGCACTCAAAAATTGGCCGTTAGTTTCATACTTTGTTTCTTCTCTTTCACGCTTTTCCGATCTTTCCTAAGGATTTTTACTTTCGTAAGTACCTGAGATTGGAAGGACTAAACAAAGCTTTTCTGACTTAGAATGATTGTATTCAATTTTCCAATTAAGTTCATTTGAAATGATTTTTGCAATTTTCATATTAATATCAACTTTGTATCCAATGATATTTCTAAATTCATTTTCAGAAACAATTTTATTCATTTTACTTTATCCTTTTGTAGTTCCAACTGGTGGTTTATAGTTTTCAATTTCAACCCTGAGATGAGGGATAGTATCATAAGTAACACTCTCTGTTTTAAGCTTTAACTATCCTTTGTAAGTGCCAGATAAGGTTTAGAGGATAAGATTTAAAAGTATTTGCTTAAATTTAGTTTGATCACCTCTTGCTGTTTATGGTACATCACTTCCGTGATTTATAGTAAAGTCAATGTTTTTCTTTTAAATTTCACTTCTGGCTATTTCTATAACCTCTTCAATTGTTTTAACCACATCGAATTCTTACTCCTTGAATCTGAATTTATTCTCTGAGATGTTGTACACAGTCTGAAAATCTTTAATTCTAAACAGCATCTTATTAATTTCATTATATGACTCTTCTGCTATAGGCTTTCCATTAAAGTCAACATGCTAGTCTAGTTTGTTCATACTATTTGATGCGAACTCAGCATATGATTAGATTTATTTCATTAAGTTGTCAGTAAACTTAGACATCTCCTATTTCACCTCCATTATCTGTTCGACATAAACAATATGCGATACATCTCTGATCACAAATAATTTATCTCTGCTACCTGAAAGATTCACATTCACTTAATTAAGTGTGATATATTTAGTATTAGTGGACGCTTGTTCATCATATTTACTTGATCTTGAAGGGAGCTCAAATATAGTTCCTTTCTCATTTTTAGCTAAGAATTACCACACGGTAGATGATTTAGACTGATTGTAAGCCTACTCTTTCTTGCTTGTATATGGAATAATCTTAGTTTCTATCAGTTATCTTTTAAGCTCATCGTGACTCTTATCTTGTTTGACTTGCTGCTGTTACAACTCTAAAATGTATCTTAATGACTGGTTTGCATAAAGAATGTAATTATTTCTAATGAGAGCGATCCCTTCCGGAAATGTTTCAAAAATTTTAAGCCATTTAGTAGCTACTTTATCAGATTGTTCTTTTCCTAGAAAAGCTTGCTTAGCTCTGATCTCGGTTATAAAAGCTATTAATGCATAGATAAATACGCAGTAGATTGACTCGACTACAACTTCATAGACATCTTGCTCCAAGTATTCATATCCAACCCTAACAAAGAAGACAACCACGCATGGAGTGAAAACTATAGTTGAAATGCACCATTGCTCATTGAAAACAATTAAAAGGAAAAATGTTGAAGTAAAAGCAACCATTAATCTAATAAATTAACACTAATATAAAATTACGTGAAAAATACCACAGAGGGTGCTTGTTAATAGTCGACAAATGCAAAATAATAGTATGCTAGCAGAGTTAATAATGGGCATACAAGCCATGATGACCAAATCATGTGTTTCTTGCGGATAATAATCGAAAGGATAATGAAAATGCAAAATACCCCCCAATTAATTCCTGATGTTACATTAGAGATTTTCCCAAAATTAAGCGCTCTATACAGAATTTCCATAATACCAGCAAGAATTAAGAGCAAGGTTGCTATGATAGGCATAGCTTTCTTGTAAAAGGCTTTCTTTTCCTTATTGTACATCTTGCGGTAATCTGAATTAGCAAATAGTAGCAAAAACTTAGATAACATAACGACCTAAATTGTAAAATATAAATATGATATTAATTTCTATATAAGTATTGACTTTACATGAATAAACTAAATATCCATTCTAAATCACGTACAAGTTTTTCTGATGGGGTTTTGGGGTTTTGGGGTTTTGGGGTTTTGGGG